TCTCTCCCATGTTTGTCTGCATCACTGAAAGCATGAGAATGTGGCGCACACGTGGGGGAATCCTTTCCTGGATTACTTCCGCCCTGAGATTTCAAAATAAAAGTCTCAACCCATGAACTGAACTGCAGACGTTTTATCAAAGTACCTAATTCCTCTATTAAATGAACATGAATTAATTTACCAGGGTGTTTATTTATTGAGTCGTTCAAAGACCCCAGTGGAAACATCTGATAGAAATAGTGATAGAAATAGAAGAGAGATTGTCCTGAACTGTTTCTAATGGAGTGACCTGGTTTAGGGTTTATGTCAAAATAGAATAAGTTGAACAGAACCAGGTTTAAGCATGGCATCTACTTTGGTTGTCTATTAGACTGAAATGGTATTAGAATTGTATTAATTTGTCGTTTGATTGGTTGATAATCATGTTTAGCGTTTCTGATATTTTGCCACAAGACGTAAAGGAAAGAAAGTGAAAGAAAATTAACCTGCAGACAGACTGAAGAGAAGCCTGTTACACTGCAGGTGAAAATCTACATAATAAATGTAGAAAGACAGGATTATATTTTATATTATGCAGGGGAAATAAAATTATACTTGGTTATATATCTGTATCTGCATCGATGTTTAATTCGTGGAAGTATGTTTGTGGGAAAATAAATGAATTTTCTTCTTCCATTTCTTCCCCCCCCCCACAAAATAGAGATAAAACAATATTAATATAAATATTATAGATAGCTATTGATTAAACAGGCATACATTGATATGAAGTTTAAAAAGAAAAAAATATTTAGATGAACTTTTATTAAAAGAAAAACATTTGATTTAAACCCATGTGACTAAAAAGTATTACAAGAAGCAGATATGCTTAGCTGGTTGATTCATATCAATCTATTGATCATAATTTATACTGTGAATTTAAAAAAAAAATGTGTAAATGAAAAGACTTTGAAGAAGGTAAGAGACATGGCAGAATCATCAATTTCATCAAAAAGAAGATAAACCAGGAGACAAAGTCTAACTGATCCTCCAGGTAAGTTAATAAAAACACACTTATTTTATTTATTTTGTAATGAAGTAGGCATAGGCACACTATACATTTGTGTACATAATAGTGTGTCCAAAATTTAGACTAGTAGCGTAGGTGATTTATCTTCATCATTTCTCTTCCCAGCAATCTCAGCACTCCATGTGGACACAACTTCTGCAAGACCTGTCTCAATAAGTGCTGGGACAACAGCCAGACCTGCAGCTGTCCTTACTGTAAAGAAGCATTCAGCCAAAGACCCGATCTCAAGATTAATACCACACTGCGAGAGCCCGTAGGTCACTATAAGAAGAAAACACCTGAGAAAAAACCTGAAGTTCTGTGAGACATCTGCGAGGAAAGAAAGCTGAAAGCTCTAAAGTCGTGTGTGGTGTGTCAGAGCTCTTACTGTGAAACATTTGAGAGTGGCAGCTTTAAAGAAACACAAACTGATGGAGCCTGTGAGTAATCTGGAGGACTATATATGTCAGATACACGAGAGACCTCTGGAGCTGTTCTGTAGAGATGATCAGCAGTGTTGGGGGTAACTCATTACAAGTAACACGAGTTACGTAATCAGATCACTTTTGTCAAGTAACTAGTAAAGTAACACAATACTTTTTCAAAAAAGTAATGCCATTTACTTTGTTTTCCCATTTATTGACTGACAAGTCTCCTGTCCACATATCGGAAATGGGGAGTACAGAGGCGTTGTGTGCGCTGTGTGAACATGATGTTACTGCTGATGTGTCATGTGACAGACCACAAGAACCACAAGACTGTTCCTCTAGAAGAGGAGAGTGAAGAGAAGAAGGTAGAAGCTCCTAACAAAACTGCTTTTAAAGGTCTCATATCATGAAGAATCTAATTTTCTTTGATCTTGTAAAAAAAAAGAGTTCACTGTGAAAAGGCGTAAAGACCTTTATATGGCGTAATAATCAAGGAACTTTACTGCCGTACCATGGGTGCAGCAGGCGCAATGATGAAAATAGGCTAACTTCCGTCAACATAACCAACTACACAAACTTAGTGCCGGTCACGTTAGAAGTTACCTAGCTGGGGACACAATTTTAACATCTACTCCTATAAGGAAAGCATGTTGGGAACCAGAAACTAGCTTAAAAAAATGGTACTCGTACAAATCAATTTATCTTACCTAGAATTTCCTGAGTAACAAAGGCATAGTACGCAAATAGTACAGATTGCTCGATTTTTACAACCATAATTGACAAATAGTTGTACATTAAGTAAAGTCAACTCAAACGTGTTAGTTACAGCGAATAAACCAGTGAATAAACTCTGAGACCGCCATTACGGAGTTTAAAGGTAAAGTAACTTGATTTACTTTAATTGATAGCCTAAGCTTCATTTAACACATCAGCCAATAATCTACAAATGAGATGCACATAAATGATTGATATGTAATCAATCATTGTAGTTTAAGCTTGGTTTAAGCAATGTAATTATACTATTGATGCTCAGATACTGATGCACAGACAAAAATGCTATTAGTAACTCTGATAACACGCCAGTTGAGATCGACTCTGTATTAGCAAACACAATTTTAACATCTACTCCTATAAGGAAAGCATGTTGGGAACCAGAAACTAGCTTTAAAAAATGGTACTCGTACAAATCAATTTATCTTACCTAGAATTTCCTGAGTAACAAAGGCATAGTACGCAAATAGTACAGATTGCTCGATTTTTACAACCATAATTGACAAATTGTTGTACATTAAGTAAAGTCAACTCAAACGTGTTAGTTACAGCGAATAAACCAGTGAATAAACTCTGAGACCGCCATTACGGAGTTTAAAGGTAAAGTAAGCCAATAATCTACAAATGAGATGCACATAAATGATTGATATGTAATCAATCATTGTAGTTTAAGCTTGGTTTAAGCTCTAGTTTAAGCAATGTAATTATACTATTGATGCTCAGATATTGATGCACAGACAAAAATGCTATTAGTAACTCTGATAACACGCCAGTTGAGATCGACTCTGTATTAGCAATGATGACTTTGCTGTTTTGTTTGTTAATTTCCTCACAATGTGTACTTACTCAAGTGAAGTAGCTGTCTTCACACACTTTAGCCTATTAAACAACACATAGCTATTTCATACTGCAGATAATGAACGTTTTAAAACTGTAGTTTAAAATGAATGATTACAGAAAATTAATAGACTCCCCTATGGTTTATTTATGTTCTCTATTTAAAACATTTGACTTTGTAAATCTATTATGTGTATTGTTAATATTAGTGTTGGTAGAATGTTGAAAGACTCAGACTCAGATATTCAGATGGTTTAGAATGTTTTGTTTTCTTAATTGAGCTTTTATTAAGCAAAGACACTTTCATGGTAGTGCACTTTTTTCTTTCTTTCAGTTTTAGCCCCCTTTATTTACTGATGTAAATGTTTTGTTTTGCAAGTCAATCAAAAGTAAAACAATAAATAAATATCAGTTCTGCATATTGGTTATTGGTCTCATAAACATGCAAATAATCAGTATTGGTTCTAAAAAAAACAGGTGTTTTGAGTTGATTAGCTGATTGGCATGTCACCATATTCTAATTTGTTGAGATGGTGAATTGGTGGGTTTTTGTTAAATGTGAGCCAAAATCATCACAATTAAAAGACCCAAAGACTTAAACTACTTCAGTCTGTGTGCATTGAATTTATTTAATACACGAGTTTCACAATTTGAGTTGAATTACTGAAATAAATGAACTTTTCCATGACATTCTAATTTATTGAGATGCACCTGTAGTTTTTCCATCAATATTTTGAATTAGCGTTTATTTTTATATATTTTATTTTCATTTAATTGGAAAGTTAAGTAATTTTGTTATGTGCTTTTTGTATTTTTTATTTTGTAATTTAGTGTTTGTGTTTTAAAATAACTACTTAGATTTAATGAATTTATAATTTTTTTATTTCATGTTAAATTTTTTGTTATATTGAGTTAGTAATTTCAATGATTCAACTTAAACTTATTTCAGTTAGTTGCCAATGCAACATTTCTAATTCTAGTTTAAGTTTTTCATCTAATATTTAGATTTGATTATATTTCAGCTTTATTTCAATTAACAAAATGTTTTTAATAGTTTTAGTTTTTATTATTGATAACAATAACCTTGTTAGACTGTAGTATGTCTGCCTTTAATCTATAATGTAAACTATTTCAAATAAAAAAAGCTCTTGTATTACAGTAATTCTGAAATACTTGCATTAATGAGAGTCTAATGAGAATCACAAATAAGAATAGTGGAATTACAAAAAAAGCATAAATATATAGTATAAATTTCAGATGCATTATGGTAATGAGACGTGCTTATTTATCATGAAAGTAATGTTGCAATGCAAAGAATAAATAAATAAAATAGTATTTTTTTGTTACTTTTTATCATTTTTATTTTTTATTTTTATTTTGGGTTGACCTGAACATTTTGTGAGATTCACCTTCAGTTCTGCTTCTCGTGAACATAAAACACATCACAAGCTGCTCTGCAGGAGGATAACAAAATAGATTTTATTTCACAGGAATTAGAGGTTATCCATTTGATATGCTTTTAATATGTTTTTTAGAGTATTTTATTTAAATACAATACAAATAAATAATTTCATTATTTCAAAGCAGTCCAAAACAGTTTTCAGAATATATCAATTTCCCATATACATCCCCACTATCTCTTTCTCCGTGCGACGCATGCAGCCTCAGAGCCGCTCCTACAAGATGTTCACGTCCATTAGAAAGAAATGAAAGCAGACGTTCTTAAGCACATGATCCTATTAAAGAGAAAACTCTTGCACACATAATCCATAATTTTAGATTACTGGAATGATGCACAATGGAAATGAAAGCCTGCATTCACGAATGTTTACCACTTAATATCAACTGGCATGGGGATAAGTTTCATCTAGTGTCATGAACCAAAGAGCAAACACTGAACTGTCTGAAAGGAGCGCAGCCGCTACAGAGAGTCACGTGTGGACAAAGTCTTTATCACCGAGCTCTCTCCGTCCCGTCAGCATTATGAACAAAAGTCACACCAGTATGGGTAAGAAGTGTGTAGCTGTGTTCTTCCTGCGGGTTTTTCTCCCGCGCAGAGGCCTTCCATGAGCACTCAGACCTACAAACATCTGGCGCTTCTTGTTCCTCCACTCCGCGGATGCGTATGTGTTATACCCGTTCTCCTCGATGCGCTCCTTCAGACGGCAGTTTACACCATAGTTTCTCTGAAATGCGTGAAACAAAGAGTTATTACATTTCTGCACACCCAGTCATGCTGGTTTTTTAAACATAGCAGCAGTTTTCTGCTGGTCTAAGGTGGTTTGTCAGCTCTAACCAGATCTAAATATCCTGGCGATCCATCTGATTAATCATCTAGACCTGCATGAACCGGCTATTGACCATAAATAGTAATCTTGGACCAGCTAGAAACCATTTAAATGGAATCACTTGTTGCTTTGACACAATGTTAAAAGTAATGCATATATTGTATTGGATGTTCAAATAAGTAAGCTATCTGTACGTTTTCCCTCAAAAAGAAGTGTAAACACAATAACCTTGTAAGAATCCCAACTACAGCAACACTGTCTCAATGACAAGAGAGTGGGGCGGGGCTATATTTTTGTTTGACCAGTGATAATATGCAGTGCTGCATAAATTACAGACATTACCTTTTTTTAGCAAAAAAAGTGGTTTTCGAATTTTTTTTGTTGGTGATTTCTTTGTGGGACACCTAAAATATAAGCTATATATTTCTGTGTATAAAGACAAGTCCTATTTATACTGTGAAAAATAACAATAATGTAAATATGTGGAAAAAATTGTATCTTTATATTTAATAAGAAAAATAAAAACTACTAATGAATAGCAGAACAAAACTGTAATAATGTCAAACTGGTGAACTTTTCCTTTATTTATTTATTTGTTTGTTTGTCTATTTTACATTTTTTTCACCACCACCTCCTTATCTATCAAGCAATCAATCAATCAATCATGTTAAAGGGGTCCTATTATGCTTTTTCACTTTTATAATTTTAGTCAGTGTGTAGTGTGTATGTTTGGGCATAAAAAAGATCTAGAAAGTTACAAATCTCAAAGTCCACTCCAAAGGGAGATATTTCGTTTGTTAAAAATCCCTTTTCAAGAACTACAACGAACGGCTCGTTTGGACTACAGCGTTGGTTTCTGGGCTTTGTGATATCACAAAGCGGCTCATTGG